ACGTAAAATGTTGTTGAATGTTTTAAAAAACCATAAAAACCACAGAGAATTACATTTAATGGCAGCAACAGCAGTAGCAGCAGCAGCAGCAGGATGCCCCGAAATGGTAGGGATAACCGCAATGGGAACAACAGCAGCTAGACATCACACAGACTGACTGATGTGTGTGCGTGTGTGTGTGGCTTAATGTATGTGAGTGTGTGCCTAGTGTGCATCTCCCAGGTCCCATATTTAGTTATCCTTTGAGCACGCAGTCCACTCGGAAAATATTTTTCCATAAAAGGGTTTAAAAGAAAGTTTGGGTCGGACTTACAGAAAGGAAACAACATACATATTGTTATAACAATACTCATTAAGGCTAAAATGGTTGAGATATCTAGTTAAGAAAATCTTTTTTGAATTTTTTTAAATCAGAAACTTTATGCGAACTTAAAACAGAAAGGAAAAGGAAAACAAATACTTAACTGGCTATATTTTAAATTAAAATAAAATTAAAGGCTTAAATGGGACAGAAATCTAGTCAAGAATATCTTCTTTAATTTATTTTTAAATGGTACACGTACTTTAAAAACTTTAATTTTGTGTATTTATGGAACGCCAAACAAAAATTAATAGTAACGCGTCAAAAATAGCATTTTCATTATTGAATAGTTAACATTGAAATTTAACAGAAATAAAGTCAACAAGATCCTCTTTTAACCATTGTAAACTAATTTCTAAAGTCAGACCACACTTATTATTTTTTTTTGTATTTAAATTTCAAATTAAATTAACAGCTATACAATTATTTTCTCTCTTTAAAATCATGTTGCAGCTACTTAATACTGCGCAAATATGCAAACTCCCTATAAATGCACAAGTACAATTAATTTTGATTTAAAACATATTAAATATTTATATTACAAATGTATAAGTCTAATTAATTTCAGTGAGCCCTTGCATTTGTCAGCAGAGTTCTTCCTTTATGAGTTGAAAAGAGTTGCGCATAAAACTATCCATCCTGTGAATGCATAATTAGCCAAGCGGAAATTCGGCAACACTGCACAAATTGCACACAAAAAGCACGAAAGCGTCTGCATAATTAACAAGCCGGCTGGGAAAAGTGAAAATTGCCGGCAGCTCTTAAGAGTAAGTGGAAATTCCACAGCTTCCGAATTCTAAATACCAAATGGCTAAATGGGAAATGCAATAAACATTCAGCTCAAGTAATAAGCCAGCACATAAAGAACGCCATTAAATGGCCGATGGCCAAAACGAAGACGAGACGTTCAAATGGCCAGTCTGTTGGGGAAAAATGGTGGGGAAAAATGGAGGGGGCAAGGAAACAGGATACTGGACTGTACGCTGGGGATGCTGTCAAAAAGTCAAAGCCATTAGGCACACACCAAGGAAGATGCGTCCAGCGGCGACAGTATTGAAACGAGAGATGGCAGTGGTAAGAAAAATGTGAGGCAAAGTCCTCACCACTTTTGACACCAAAAACTAACGCAAATGAACAACGAAATTTAAGCGTACACTTCATTAGATGGACTTTAAAAAGGCCACCAAGTGCGGATGGGGCAAAATGGAGAAAATGGGGAAAAATGGTGAGCTTGGGCGACCGCAGGACATGCACAGCACAGACGCCTCATTGGCTTTGACAGGACACAACAAACTCGCATCCCTTCGAGCCTGATTGCTGCGGTCGTCTGTCGCATGTCCTTTTTCGTCCTGCCCACCTGACAATATCAGCAAACATCTCTCGCCTGACAAGCAACATGAACTGAACGCAAAACTCAACAAAAAATTACCAGGACAAACGGGGTCCCCGTTTTGGAATACCCTTTATACTCAAAAGGTTTTTAACATTTTATTTAGGTGTGTTCCTCATTGATTTTAATTGATTTTCAGGGAATGTAGTTTACAAATATGGTTAATAAATAATAATAAAGTTTTTTGATTTGATTTTTGATTTTTTGTAGAAAACAAGCTTTACTTTTTAAAAAGCGGGTACAAATTTTCCCGTTTACGAAAATAACTTGAGTTTCAAGCACATTTTCTTGCATTTTGAAACAGCGACAAATTAAAAAATGTTTTATTAGAGATTAAACCTATATATAAACATATATTGTATTAGCTAGCTTGGGCCATAAGCTTTCCATTTACCTAAATTCCCATTAAAAGGGCAACGGGCAGGAAACAAGAAAAGCCCCTTGGTACATCCATTTCAAAGAAAAAGGAGGTCGGGTGGGGTCGGTTCGGTTCGGTTTGGGGGGTCGGATGCTCTAAGCCGCTGACAAAGCTTTACTAATACCGCTGCAATTAGCAAACCTGTGCACCTGTGCAAACAGCTGCCTAAGAACAGGGATCAGGGGATAGCAACAGCAGGAGCAGCTAGAGCAGGAGCAGGAGCAACAGGACGATGTCCACTCGACATGGCCCGCAGCCAGGAGATTAGACCCAAAGTTGTTTATGGCGAAAAGGGAGGCGGCGGTCACCGTCAGCGGGGATAAAGCATAATGAAAGTAATAAAGTTGCACAGTTTCAGGACTCAAACTCCAAACATGCTTTTGATCGGCACCGTGGCGATAAAAACTTGTGCATCCCAGACAGAGAGTCCTTCGACGAGTCCTTCCCGCCCATGTGTGTTGCATGTGTGTGTTTTTTGCATCGGCTCTGTGGTCGTGCCAACACATTCCTGCACCGGAAAATATTGTCCAGCGGACGAAGAGCAGAGAATACAGAATACAGAACGCAGAACACTTTCCACCGGTGGCAGACACTTTTATCGCCATCGTTGATGTTCGGTGCCCCGCCCTGTTGCTGCCGTTCTGATGTTGTTTTTATTGAATATTCATAAATGGCCAAAAAAGGACCAAAAGAAGCTGCAACTAAAACGGTCGCTTGTCGTTGGTCGGCGGCCTCAGCTGTTTGGGCCTGACTGTCTGGCAATAGAATCAATATTTTATGCCCATCTGCTGGTCAGAAAGGAAGATGCTACCAACGACCACACAAGAAATTAAAGCCACCTAGAGAAAGGTGCACTGCTAAAAACAATTATACCTTTAAATCTTTAAAATCTAATCGATTTTTCTTTAAGCAAAAAACATAAAAAGATGTACGAAAAACAGGTAAGCAAGGAAATGGGAATGTAAATCGGCTATTTCAAACATTATTTGATTTGGAATTTATTGGCTTAAAGGAAAAACTCAAATCAATTCAGCAGTAAAATGGGAATTCGATCGCGCTTTTAAAAACTACAAATTAAAATGCTTCTATAAAAATTGAAAGACCCTTTATGTTACTCCAGTTATAGAAATGGATTAAGCGATTTAAAGTTTTTAAGATTTTACATTAAATTAAAAAATCTTATTATATTGAAATAGAGTAGCTTATTTTCGTGAAGTGTAACGTAAACTGCCTGCAAGTGCAACAGGATGTGTGCAGGCCACAAATTAATATGTGAGCACACTTGTCGGAAAGAGCCACGCCCCAGACGATTTGGCTTCGTCCATCTCGATTGTGGTTGCCACGCCCCTTTTACCGACTTTGTACTCAGTTGCCAACGATTTTATTGCCTTATTTTGAACAGCACTCCAAAGTTGAATAAAACCGAATTTTGGCAACGATGCAATGGGGATGCAATGACTAACCAATGTAGTGGATAAATTATTAAGCAATTAGAAGGCATGACTGACTTGCTGGCATTTCAAAATTGGTTGCTCAATTGATGTGGCATAGCAACGCATATCAAATTAACTAACAAATTGACTTGTCAAACTCTTTTCTGCCCCACGGCATGCCACGCCCACCACCCAGCGCCCCCAAAAAAGGAAATTACAAACCATTAGGCACAGGACGATGGGACGATGAGACGATGAGACGAGAGAGAGAAGGCAGACACAAAGGATTCTCAGTTATTAATGAGGAAATCACAGGGAAAAGCACGCACGACCAGCTCGCAATAATGAGGAAAATATAAGGGAAATGGGGAAAAAAGGGAGAGGAAGCGACGTGTATTGTAATTTTTATTTTTATGCCGAAACGAAATCATTCGATTTCATCATTTTATGGACCCCGACACTGCATTATCATTATACATAGTATTGTGGGACATACACACATCTATGCTATGCTACCCTCAACCTTTTTCATATATTTTCCCTTGCTTTTGCCCATCAACAAGGCAACACGTAGCAAATTATGAATGAATGAAAGCCGGGTGTGGAACAGTGGAGCCTGCCTCGTAATTGCCACTTGGTTGTGTCACATGTGGCAGGCCATCCAAATGGAGGCGACAAATTTCAGTGGTTCTTTGCAGCTCGCTCTCCAAGGACCTGCAAACTGAGTAAATTGCGCAATGAACGGTGGCAAATTACATGAGCAGCCCGAACTGGGAACCCCAGGAGTCTGGATAGAAATGCCAGTGAATATGGTTGCCATTAAATACGAAAACTTCTTGGTTTTGGTTTTCCTTCTTGGCACTGGTCAGCGGTATTGTTATTATATATTATATATATATAAGTTATAGCAACCTGTACGATTTAGCTAAACATATAATTAAATATTCATATCTCTGACCGAATGGTCATGCAACACATGCGAGACTGCGGAGGCATCGTTTACCACCAAACCAAAAAACAAAACAAAGTTACCTAAAACAAATTTAAAAAAATTTGGGACGACCTAAGCCTAACATAAGCCTAGCAGCAGCAGCAGTCTCGCAGCTCATGTAAATGTAAACCATACACAGATCATTAAGTTCATTTAAATATTAAGCTGAATCGTAGTGCTTTGCATTAGATAGATGACATAGACAATACAGCAAATGCAGCTGCTTCATCGTTTACAACCAGCCTTCTACAATATTTCATTGAACAATATGAAACTTGAACCGGGGAAAAATATCTGACTACCACGAATGATGCAAAAATAAACATTTTCAAATATTTTAGCAGCTTTACTTATTTCGGAATTAAGTTAGGCAACTTCCAGGGATTCACAGGGATTCGCCGACTCACCTGACTGAGCTCATCCCGGGACCGACGCGAGCACTTGGGCAGGAGGGCCTGCATGTCATCATCGAAGGCTCCGCCGTGGGACGCATCCACGACATCATCCACATCCGGATCGAGGCTGCTGCTCCGGCGGCTGCCTGCGTTTTGATTTTGGTTTTGATTCGAGTCCAGGCCCGTGCGATTTGAGGCTGGTGTCATGGATCCCGACTGACTGCTCGTATTGTTGTTATTGAGAGTGGACTGGGCCAGGACATTCAGTTTGCTGCTGATGGCGTTGAGGCTCGCCTGTTGCTGAGATTTTTGTGACTGTTGCTGGCCATTGTGATTGTTGTTGATGTTATTGTTGTTGCCACCGTGGGAATTGCCGGCATCCACAGAGGACGCCTCCAAAGACGAGGGCGTGGCACCAGCAGAGGGAAGCGGTTCACTTGTTCTGCAAATGGAAGTAAGAAATAATTAATTAGACATGGATTCAGACATTTTTGGTATTCTCACCTTCACAGGTCGATTTAAAAGCGTTATAAAGAAAATAGAGGTAGACAATTCCCACAATTTGTTGGACACAACACTATTAGCCTTTAAACATGCTATTAGCTATTAGCATTAAAACATTCTTTGCGTTAACAATTCAGCGTGTGACATTACTTTTACAAAATCAAATTAAATGCATTATTTTAAAGTATTTTTCCTCCGATATTCTACAGCGAAATTGTATTTTATTTCTTATTAATAGACAGCGGATGCAAAACCGTGTCCTAAACATTCGATTCCAAGCAAATGTAAACTGGGCAGACAATATTTTTAATAAATTTAGTGATTTAAATTTTACAGATTGTAAAACAATATATCAGATAGGTTTTTGTGTTTTTTTTTTTTTTATCTGAAGTAGTCTTTAAGTAGTCTTCGATCCTTCAACTTCGAAGTGTCTTTAAGTCCTGACATAGACACGAATCCCAAGTTCTGGACCCATTTGTCAAGCCCATTCCCATTCAACCCTCAGTCAGCTGTCAAAAGGTTAATTTGCGACACATTTTTTTTGCCAATGCCGTCGCCAAAGTGGCTAAATTCAAGACGAGGATGAAGGATGAAGGATGAAGGATGAAGGACGCAGGACTCGCATCGTCATGACGCCTCAAAGCGGGCAATTTTACGCCATTTTAACAATATTTCTACGATAGGACACAAATGTTATTAATGAATGGCTAGAGAACAGAAAAGAAGGGCAACGGAGAAAAAAGAAAATAAAGTGCGTGAAAAAAAAAAGAAATGAGAGCCGGCATGTGCTTCCGCCTTCAACTCAAAGGACTCCAAGGACGCAGGACAGCCTTTTGCTTTTGATGGATCAGCGCCGTTGGAAAAGCAGGCCCTCTTGTCATAGACAAGTAGAAGAAGAAGGCGGCGGAAAATGCTCGACTTGGCCATATGAAAAGTTGTCAAACACTCTGACATAATCATGTCAAATTAACACGGAACAAACAGGATGTCAAACTTGTTGTGTGCGGTTGTTGGCCCACTTGGTTTGGGTTTGGGTGGATAATAAAACACTCGCAAAGAATTAGGCGTTTTAGGGAAACTTGTGGCAGGCTCAAGGACACGCCAAGCCGCCAAAGAAAACACGCTCGTATTTATGAGGATTTGCAGAACAAACAAGGGCGAGCGATAAACAAAATAGGGAAATGACAGTTGAGTAGAGGAGAAGTAGGACTAGAAACCTATGGAAATTCGCCCACTCATGGCAATTAAGATTAAGTGGCAGCGACTGGCGCCGTGAATTTGGGTTTGGGTTTGGATTTGGATTTAGGTTTGGGGTAATATAAACGGTCGGTGGCGGAAAACCTTGAAAGTTTGGCCATTCTGCGGGCTGAAGGTCAATTTAAGCCATAACACGTATGTAAATATCTTGATTGGGAGGTAAATATTGGGGAACCTTGATAAGGTGGAGAATTAAAAAAAATTTATTTAGTCCAATAGACACAGCCATAGAATTGAATATGAAACAAAGTCTATTAATAAAGACTTACATAAATATACATTAACTGTATTTGCAAGTATGAAGAACATTTGTTTTAAAATCTAAAGGAATTAATTGTTTTATATTTATATTAAATTATATATAACTTTTTTACATTATACGTAGCTTAAACTTATAAACAAAATTAAAAAGTCAATAATTAGTAACAAAATAATGAACAATTTCTGGTTCAAGAGTAATACAAATACAAATCTTAGCTCTCAACTATAGAAACTTATGAAATATTTTTGGCTTTAATTAAATATTACTACTTCTTTTGTACCAATATTTATACCCTTGCAGAGGGTATTATAATTTCAGTCAGAAGTTTGCAACGCAGTGAAGGAGACGTTTCCGAACCTATAAAGTATATATATTCTTGATCAGCATCACTAGTAGAGTCGATCTAGCCATGTCCGTCTGTCCGTCTGTCCGTCCGTCTGTCCGTCTGTCCGTCTGTCCGTCTGTCCGTCCGTTTATATGCAAACTAGTCTCTCAGTTTTAAAGCTATCTGCATGAAACTTTCCCAAAAGTTGTCTTTCTATTGCAGGTAGTATATAAGTCGGAACGAGCCGGATCGGACGACTATAGCATATAGCTCCCATAGGAACAATCGGAAAAATAAATGAAAAAAATTATAACTTTGCTGTTTTTTAATTTTTTGTTTAGTTCTTCGACATATAGTAATGGTTAAATATTTCCGATTTACGGTTTAAATTTCATCAAAATCGGTCGACTATAGCATATAGCTCCCATAGGAACAATCGGAAAAATAAATGAAAAAAAATTATAACTTTGCTGTTTTTTAATTTTTTGTTTAGTTCTTCGAGATATAGTAATGGTTAAATATTTCAGAATTATGTTTTAAATTTCATCAAAATCGGACGACTATAGCATATAGCTCCCATAGGAACAATCGGAAAAATAAATGAAAAAAAATTATAACTTTTCTGTTTTTTAATTTTTTGTTTAGTTCTTCGACATATAGCAATGTTTAATTATTTCAGAATTATGGTTTAAATTTTATCAAAATCGGACGTCTATAGCATATAGCTCCCATAGAAATAATAAAAATATATAAAATAACTATCTAATAATTGAGCTGCAAATCATCATAGTTTCAATGTTTTTCAGCATATACTCAAGTAAATCATAATTTAAATGTTTTCAAAAGTATTTAATTCATGCAATAGCTGCAAGGGTATATGAACTTCGGCTTGCCGAAGTTTGCTTTCTTTCTTGTTTTACTTATTTTAAATCAGACTTAATTTATTGCCTAATCAATTAAATACAAATAAATTCGATTTTATTTCCAAAATTCCCCTTTCAACGAAACTTGTCAGTTAGTAAAACTGTAAGTATTTTAAGATTTCCCTTTCATCTTAATCTTTATTCGCAATCAACATTGGCGGAGGACCAGAGCTAACTCAATTATTGGTCTGCACAAATTTGAAAAGTTGAACTCGCAATCCCATCCGTGATTCTGTCAATCGGAAGTTTCGTTCGCACAGAAATCCGTAGTGCCATTCTTCTTCGCCCAGCGCAATCACAGTTGGCCCCAAAATTGTCAAAAGTTTTCGCCCCGTTAGCCCCATGAATATTTACTCTTTGTTCTCAGGCCCAGATGGTATGGAATCAAAGTGTGGAAAATAAAACAAAAAGTAAGCATATGTACATCACAGAGGTGCAGGATATGGAGTTCAAGTCGTAGGGGGAATGCGGGTCGTACTTCAGCTAGATGCGGTCGGATCGGATCGGATTGGATTAGAGTTGGGGTTGGAGTTGGAGTTGGAGTTGGGCTGGTCAGGACCAAAAGGAGTTTGGGGGAATGCAAATTACTTGTGACAGCTTTCAAAAAGTTCAACATAGTTGTCGATGGTAGCTTCGTCCTCCTCACTTGACAGCTGACACATCGAGTGTGGCAGGGGCGGCAAGTGCACAAGAGTTCATCCCGCACAAAGTTCATATGTGCACTTAAAACTGCGGTATTGTTGTAAAACTATAAGTACTACTTTACATACTTTGCATAATTTACGCATATCTATGAAGAAAAATGATTAAAAATGTAATTTCATATAAGAAATAATAAACAAATAAGAAAGTGTGCTATTCTAACCTTTTTTAATCCTACATGTCATATAACAATATTTTACAATAATCCATAAATTGTAAATCGCAATTGAAGAAAATTGAGTGTAACATATATTTAGTACAAAAACATCGATGGCAAAGATGATTTAGACTTTTTTGATGTTTTTTAGATATTTATTAGGTACCAGCCCCTTAGGGAATATTATTTCTGCACAATCATTTTATATAAGTTTTAAAAACCAACCAACTTTCTGTCTTATTTTCCTTTCAGTGTGGGTGAACTGCATTTCTGATCTAGCCAAAACAGCAACAGAAAAGAAGTTGTAGGCGAATGGCAGTGGGTGTGGCAGTGGCAAGGAGTTAACCCCCTGTCTATGCCCCACGGGCTCGAGTGTCGGCAGCCCAACCGTTTTTGATATGGTAATGTGGCAATGGCAGTGCGTGTGTGGAATGCTCCGTTATTAGATTTTCCCCCCGTCGTCCAAACTCAAAGTGGAAACCAGAGAAAGGAGTCGAGAGTAGTTGGTAAAGGGGCAAACGTCGTCGAGAGTGCCATAAAGTAGTAATACTAATTAAGTTGTGTATTATGCATGTGCAGCTAGAGTTGAGGAACGGCTCGGTGGATTGCGTTTGGGATTGGAAGTGGGATTGGAAGTGGGACTGGGACTGGGACTCCAGCTCGTCAGTTCGGTGGAATGCCTGGGGTCGGGCACTCGACTTGAGCAGCCAGTTGACATCGTTTAGTTGAGCACTCGCCGAACACAATGGATCCATCCAGTAGGGGATTGCTGGAGGACCGGCTGCCAAGTGTATGTGGTTAGATAACCTGGAGAGGATGTCATCGAAGTGAGTGCTTTCGCTCAGACTAGGTCAGTTTTTTGTTGCCTCTCAGGCATATTGATTGGATTGCCGAGGAAGTAAGAAGATAGTAAGTCATTGACTAGGACACATTGTGGTTCCTACTTCGAAACAGCACAGCTTTCTTTAAATTTAAACTTTAATTCGATTTCAGTGCGCTTAAAACAAAAGTTGTTAGTATGATAGTTTTTGCATACTCAGAATAACATTTTTCTAGATTTTTTTTTTTAATTCAAAATGAATAAAATAAATCCGTATTAGCCATGACGAAAGTAAAGTACAAAGTGATCTTTGACTTACTGTTGTAACAAAATTAAATGGTTTATGATTTGAGTGTGGTCTTATGAAATCTTAAAAACGTGTATTACCAGTCGAATCACTCTAATCGAATCAGTTGACTCACCTTGCCTTGGGGTGACCTTTGAACTGGGCCACCTCGGCGTAGCGTCGTCCCAGAGGAGCCTCCTGGGGAC